CTATAGTAATTTATATATAGAACTGCGTCACGTTTCACTATGATCATTCTTCAGTTGACTGGAGAATCATCAATTAAATTACCAACCATACATTAGATGCCATTATTCAAGCATATAATGAATCTTTGTTGTTTCGAGATGGTTATTGTAGATTGGTTACTATAAAGCCTCACCTAGTGATGTAAATGGCTGGCTTAGCTTAGCTCACAGCTAACATTAATCAAGCTAAGCTGATCTATTAGCTCCAAATCCAAAGCTAAGCTATTTATAAGCCAATCAACCTCAAGCTGAGCTAAGCTGTTAATATAAACATAAGATGTACAAGACTAAAAATGTGTCTAATCAAATATCTATTACTTCAAAGCTTTTACTTAATGTCACATAAAATAAATTTTATAGTTTATATTATTTTAATGGAGTATTGTAATCTAAACTTGCGAATTGCTGAGTGATTAGATAAAATCATGCATTAATTAATTAATTGTTTACTATTAGACAATAAACATGTGATTTAGGTCTATTGGTTCAAAAGCCTCTAGTTTTCACGCTTGTAATAACAACCAATTGAATTTCAGATCAGGTGTAATGTGAAAATCGAAATGAAGCAAAACAACAAGAATAGCTCTAAAATTTTAATTAGAAAACCATCTTCTGTGGTCTAATGAAAATGTTCCTTGTAAAATTTACTTGTAGACGCCATATTATCTTAGTCCTAATCCTAACTATAACAGTTTTTTTAACTTTAATTTTGCATATAACTTTTTACTTAAAAACAAAATGTGTTTAACTATCATGTTATACCTGATTGTAGAAAAAATTTTGTAGAACAGCTATCTAAAATATTAGCTTGCAGCTCTATGTTCAGCTTCAAAGTCTCAAGTCGAGCTATTTTTAAAGCCAATGCTTTATTAGTAGACCTGAAGTCAAGCCTATCATTGGCTCAGCTTAGCTGTTTGGCTTACAGTTTAGCTCAAACTATTTGCATCACTAGCCCCACCTTGTTTAATAACATCAAATCACTAAATAAAGAGTTGAAATAACAAATTTAATGAATAAAACAATCCAAATTGAAACTTTTAGTATTGATAGTAAAAATATAGACAATCAATATAAAATTGGAAACGGTGTTTATAGATTAATTAGATCTATCTTGACTATTCTTTTTCTGATTTGAAAGCAATCTTTTCTATCTATTCTTGTCCCAGGAAACACAATTAAGCTAAACTTAAAAGTGATGAGTATAATGTAAGTCAGAAGCAAAACCAAGTAATGATGACTATTTGTCTTCTAAATAAAGATGAAACCTAATAATCAACATTGGTAAGCTTTATAATAAATGTGTGCTGCTAAAGGAAAATAGAATCTTGGTCATATAACATTTATATGATTGAGGTTTTTTTTTTTTTAATGTTAAAGTGACCACTTTGGGGTCTGGCACGTTTTATTGAACTTTGATTCGAATGTCAGGGCAACCTACATAGGCTACCCCTGACTTTGTTACATTAACAAGGGTACAACTAGCCATATATACAACTTTTAGTTGTCTATTTAAGCAGTTTTGTATATGTAACCTATATGAACTACACTAGCTGCCATACCTATAACCCAGCTAAGAAGATTATCTATTTAAATCCTCTAATTAACTTAGTGCTGTCAGATATTCTTCTCAAAGAGGGACTGCCAGAAAGGCCCTTATGACTTTAAAGCAGACACACACTACCATATAGGGGAGTCCTTTATCCTTATGTTAAACCTACCAGAGCAGTCCATGTCTCACACATATATCACCTAGATATTTGGTAACTTACACCTAGGCTGCAGCCAAGTACTTTCAGCTTTTTATCTCTGCTACTATTACCTACTCCTTGCCTTTGCAAAGTTCATCCAAACCCTAACATCCACTTTATGGACTATCAACAGTACTTTGATGCTAACCATCAGTACCTCAAACTAGTGAACCAAGTCACTCTTAAAAAATCGACTTGACTAAGTCAACTCAAGTCGATTATGAAGATCAGTTTTAACCAAAAGTCAATTTTTTTTAAATGGCACTATCACGTGACTAAAAGCACCAATCACATTTGAGTACGTCATGCACATCGAAATTTATCTCAAAAGCGTATAGAGCCTCTAACTGCAAGATCTTTGATCAAGAACGTATAAAGCAAAATAGTTTAGTTTTTATAAATACAATTCTTTTTATACAAGGTTTCTAACTTGAACTTAGAAAGGTTGACTATAGGAGGTATTTGATTATGAGATATTTATTAATTTGAGACTGGGTTAATCTTTGAAAGCAAAACTTCCTAAATATGAACATTTATTTAAGAATATTGTTAAGTTACATATATAGCTATATATTTCATTTATAGTTTATTTAGATGCGTCTACTCAAGACTGGATAAATATTGAAGTTTTTATTATTCTTCTTTAAGAAAATCAAATCGTGAACGCTTTCGGGAAGTAGTTTATTCCTTTTATCAGTTAATATATTTCTAGCTGTTGAAAATAAACGCTCAGAAGGGACAGATGTTGCAGGAATTGCAAGGTACCAATGAGCTAGCTGTACAAGTAAAGGTAATGTTTTCGAATACAATTGCCACCAGGTAAGTGGGTTTTCAGTTTTATATTCAGGATCGTCAGGATCATATAATGTCATTTGAGGTATGTCAAAATATGTTTTTAGTTTTATATCAATAGGGAAAATTTCTTGACAGCAGTGATGTTGTTAAAAAAAGATGCTAAATTTGAAAATAGCTTTTCTACTGGCTGTTCATTCAAATATTCATCTTTATTTAACATTAACATTTTTTGTCTAAGATAATTTTTCGTTTCTTCAAATTTTTCTGAAGCAAATCCTAGATTTTTAAATTTAGGATCTAATATTGCTGCCAGATATCCTTCTATCTTTGGATCTTCCCATCGATCTGCTAGGTTGAGCTCAAGTTCATCTCTAACATTACGAATAACTGATGAGTTAGCATTTGTTTTACTTGAAACAAATGTTCTTGAAGGGTTGTAATGGTTGGAAGCATAAGAGAGAGAGTAGGATATATATCGCCACCCATTAAAGTTGTTGTACAAGCAAAAGGTTTTAATAAGTTAATAAGCTCTTTAAGACCTAACAATTCTTGATCATCTAATAACAAGGATTCTAGTTTTTTTCCATCTTTACGAATTTCTCGATTAGCATCTTGGACTAGCTTTTTAACAAGCAATTTTATTGGATCATATAGCAAGAATAAATGTTCTAACAATACAAAAGTTGAATTCCAGCGTGTAATAGATACTGTGGCTACTGGCTCTAACAGTTGTATTTGACTTGTGGCATTATTATTTTTTTGTTTATTTCTTCTTGTGCTTTTCTTAATGCTTCTCTGTATTTATCTTTATTAACTAAAAAATTATTTAATTCCTTTGCTTTATCAATTAACTTTGTTACATTATCAGATTTTAAAGAATCATTAATAGACAATTGAAGTGTATGCACTATACAGCGAATATGAATTACTCCAAGATTATTTATTGCTTTAACCATCGACGAAGCATTGTTAGTTGTTCCAGCAATGCATTTTTCTGAAATATCCCATTTAGCAAATTCACATCTTAAACAGTCTTCAATATGTTCTCCGGTATGAAGGTAAGGAAACTCTTCAACAGTCATAAGAACTTGGTTTAATTGAAAATTGAAATCAAGCCAGTGAGCTGTAATTCCAATATACGGTTTATGCATATTAGTCCAAAGATCAATTATAAATGAAAAAGTATCCATTGTTGTTTGAAAAAGATTAATAATTTTATTTTCACCAAAATTAACTGCCTCAAAAATTTTTTTTTTAAATATATCTTGGCATGGGATTTGATAACGAGATTCAGCCTCATATACGAAATCATGAAATTTTTTATTTTCTAATACGTTTAATGGTTGCATATCGTTGATAATCCAAGCTAGAAGCCTAGATGTTAATCTATCTTTTTTTTTAGAAGGTAATGTCGATTTTTTATTGTATCTAATAATGTGGGTTGTGTAGGATCTTTTTGAGCTACCTCAATAGGCTTTTTAGAGATTGGTTGTTTAGATATACCTGATAATGGTAACAATGATCCATTTTCTGATAAGCGATGTATTGTGCGTAAATGAGCACCTAGTGTACTTGTACTAGTAAGAAGTGCAAAAGATTCTCCGCATTTTTCGATTTTTCTATTTCGTTCAACTGGAACTAAACATGTTATTTTTTTTACTAATTTATCTTTATTCATATATTTCCACACCCAACTTTTTCCAGGTTTGGGTTTTTTATTGAACGATGTAACAAAAACTGATTTATGTTTTATAGTATTTTGTAGAGAAGTACTATTTGAAGAATCAGAATAGTTTAGACTATCTGAAGATAAAGTAATTTCTTCAAAATTATCTAATGACAAAGCAGACTGCGCAGAATTATCAGAAAGTGTTAAATTTTCTGAAGTGTATAATGATGAATTAAAATATTCATCGTTGAAGGGTGATATAAAATATTCAAGATTATATGCCGTTGAAGAAGATTCAAAGGGAATAATAGACATAGAATCTGAATTAGATTCTAGTAAATTATCAAAGGTGTCCTCTAATTCATGTTGAAATATAGAATTGTCTTGATCCATAATAGCAAAAATTTTAAAAATATAGATATGCAAAAACAATTAACAGTAAGGAAAATTTTTTGAAAGATTTTTTTAAAATGATTTATATTTTATTGAAGTTTTTAATCGAGTTATTACTAACCCAATAGGTATTTTTTTATTGATTTAAAATTCTTTTTATATAAATATTTTAGATGCATGTTTGTCTTTTGAAAAGATTCCGTTACTTTCTATCTCATCTAATCTCAATAACTAATTTTTTATATCGGGGCTTGGACAGTAATATTGTGCTTTTGCATCATATAAGCATTTAATTTTTTCTTAATTTTTTCTTATGAATTGATCTATCTAATCTAAAATTTAACAATGACTAATCTATTGTATTGTGGCTTGGATAATATTATTTGATTTATTTCTAAAAGTTTTATATTTATTAATTTTTCTTTTTCTTCTTATTAGTTTGATTTGCCGTTTTCCATCTTATCTAATATTTTTTTATTTTCTATTTTTATTTTTTCCTTGTGAATTCGAATTTATTTTAAAAATTCAATTATATACTAACACAGCCTCATCCATAACTACCCTATTTTAGTTTTATTACTTTTTTTTTTTAATTTTGGCTTCAATCACTTTACTTTTTAAGATTAGTGTTTTTGGAATATAATGATCATGTGAACAGAGTCATATAAAATTATCATAGTAGGTGTATATACAATTTTTTTTATATCAAATTACTTCAGGCGTCGATACTATCTTTTCTCATTTTGTGATATTATTAATTACTAAAGATATATATATTATTATTTTATTGAATTTGTATTTTGAACTTAACCATATTCAATTTTTAGTGTATATCAATTTCTCTTTTAAGCATAATTTTATTATTTTATAATTATTTTTTTTATTCTAGAAAATACACTAAAACTACCACAAAACTTTGTTGATTAATTGTTGATGATGATTGTTTAGAATCTTGACTGCAAGAAAAACAAGCTTAATTGCATAGTTACTGATCAATTTATAGTATCTAGGTAAAATTTTATTGTTTGTAGCATTTTGTGATTTTTGTAAATTTAGTTGCAATTTGTTCTAATACCAAATAAATAGAAGATTTTTTTATATCTAGCATTACATCTTCGATTATTGATATTAGATTAACCAGCTCTATAAGTAATAAAATATCTATTGAGATGGTTGCTTTCAAAAAATTGGCTGTGGGAACTTATACTCTCAGAAAATAAATATCTGAAATGGTATATTGATAAATTTGAGTTAGGCTGCTAAGGAAAAATAAGACATTGGGCTTTCGAGTTTATCGTATTTACCAGATTTAGCCTTTAGAAAATCATATCCCTTAAACTGTATTCCAGGCAAATTTGCCTGGAAAATTTAATTGTATTTAGTATTTTTTAAATAAAATAAT